CTCTCTCTCTCTCTCTCTCTCTCTCTCTCTCTCTCTCTCTCTCTCTCTCTCTCTCTTTCCTCATCTTATTTTCTTTCCCCTGCTTATTTCTGTTTGGAAACTTCGGTCTCATCCTGTGTGTGTGTGGTTTTTTTTTTTTTTGAACAAGTGTGTAATTATGTTGTTTATCAGAGCGTAAAGTTGGGTTCCTCTTATGATGTTTAGTGCTAATTACTTCAAAACCTTTGATGCACATGCTCACGTGGAGAAAAGGGAAGCCATATATTCCTTTTTTTTTCACTTCGGCAAATCTGCCTTGTGAGGCTCATTGCTTCTGTGCTTATTGAGTTGCAGGATGAAACCCTCATGTAAATATCAAGAATGACAGTGCCACAGATGAGTTGTTCTGGTATAACAGAAAGTAATCAAGTGTGTGTGTGTGTGTGTGTGTGGGGGGGGGGGGTTAGATATTTGTTTTTGTCTTCTTCCTTCCACCAGTCTGCTAGTTTTGGTATGCGTCTGTGCAAATCTTCATTTCACATGATATTATGAGTTTTGATACACATATCAAACTCTACCTCAACATCTGTAAAATTGATTGAGTTATAGCTATCTTTGTGTTTGCTAATGTGGATTAGCTGTGGCGGGAAACTTGAAATAAATTGACTCTGCAAGGCAATCACTCATAGACGGCCATCCAGTGGTTATTTCTTGAATGCTTCATCTAAATCCATCCAGTGGATCAAGGGATATTTTGCTAACAGACAAACAGGGTTCACTGCAATGATTAATGCTAAAATTTGAATCAAAGATCTTGCACACTGGGTAGCACTTGGAGTATGTGTAATGAAATATCCTCAGCGATGACCACACCGAATATTTGTAAAATTGACTTAAATATAACCCTTTTTGTGTTTTCAACCATCTATGCTGTGGCAGCTGTCTTGATTTAGATTGACTAAAAATTACTCTGCTTCAAATGTGCATCCAGTTTACTTTTTGCAGGTTTCATTGACATTAGCTATTTTGCTAACAATCACATGAACTCACACAGACTTAGGCCAAAACATAATTGTCTGCATTTGCTGTCCAGCTGCGGGCAATAAATGTTTGCCCTAAAGCATAAGATTGCAGATTTGCAGTCTTAGCTAACACAATTATTATGGTAAACCAACATCATAGTAAACATTCCTGCAGTGGTGATCAGTCTGACAACTGATAATAACGTTCATGATAAAATGTGACAACTGGATATCTAAATAGGCACGCTAAATGTTTCCAGGCTCTGTCTCCTGCTGCTTTATTGTCTGAGGAAAGCTTGTTTACTTACATGATTCTCTTTAGTTATTTTCCTCTCTTTCCCACAAGGTGTCAGTCTTGTTCTGTGTTTCTTTAAGCCCACAGGCAACAGAATTAAAAGGCATGACAGGTTCAACAATTATCATCCTGGAAAGTTAAAAAAAAAGGTTCCTCGTTTATCTAACAGATTTTATGGGTTTAGGATCTAATTAGTTTAACTAAAAATCAGTCCCCTGGTCTTGGAAAGCAGAACAGTGAGTTTGTTAAGGGGCCATTAGGGGTGAAATAAACGAAAGAATAAAAACTTTAATGAGACAGGATTACATGTTTTTGAAGGTAAAAAAAGGTTTAAAATGTTCATAAACTACCTGTTTGACTACAGTGATGTTTTAGGCCTTCAAGGCCTTAAAAGTTAAACCTTGTTGCTCTTTTCTTTTCTTTTTTTTGTTATGTTTATTTATTTATTTATTTATTTTGCTTTTAACTCCACCCTTTATCCTGTGTTAAACAGAATATATGCCTAATATTTACATTGCAATATATTTTATCAACCATTACTGCATGTTGATCTGGTTGGATATTTCATAAAACGATTTACCTTTGTTTCAACATTTTTCAGACTCCACTCAACTCTTCTCATCCATGAGTAGTCACTTTCTTTAAACTATAAACTTTGCAAACATAAATGAATCTGTGTTGTGGTCGTGGAGGTTGTAATTTTGGCAAAGGGAAGTGTGGGGGTGGTAAACCCACGATGTAAGGCCTGCATGCATCAGGTGTAACTTGCTTGTTGAGGAACTGAGGACTATACACTGACCTAGGCTATGATACTCACGATACCTTTGGTGTTAGCATCGCGCTAGCATGGTATGATCTTCTAAAGGTAGTCTTTTCATAAGCTCTACAATGGGGACTTTAAAGGCGGCCTATTATGGAGGTCTTAGCACAAGTTAGGTTCCATCTGTGGGCTATACAAAACATGTTCATTTGATTTATTTCACAAAAAGAATCTCAAATAATGAAATTTCACATTTTCAGTTCTTCCTGTTCTTCAGTTCTCTCCAGAACGTGCTGTATGCAGAGGTTGCTAGGGAAACCCCGCTCCCATCCGTTTGTTTACAT